AGCTTGCAGATTTCTTATATTTTTTCTTCTACCCTGAAGATGGAGGCGATACGTTCCTCCGAAACGTCGGTTAACACCACATATACACGGTGCCAAATCCCAGAAGACTGCTTTCTTCATAGAATTTTAAAGTTTGTAGAAGAACACAGTTCATCTGGATGGCCAAAAAAACACTCCATTCTTGCGATGATTTTAATTGGATGCAAATAAGCACTATCTGAAGTTATTCATGCTATTTTGATTTCAGGGGTAATGGACAATTTTCGTTGTCTGTTTTCATTGAACCTCAGTGTTTGACTTCACAAGAAACCTCATGCTGTTTAATGGATTTTCATGAAATTTAACATTGAAAATTTTTAATGAAATGAAGAATGAAAGTCATACTTTTGTACAATATTTGACAATCAGTGCTGTTACTTTACTTGAAAGCGAAAATATATGTATTATTCTCTGGATCATGAGAGACAGAAATTGTGTAGCATTATTCATTGAACATATTATAATCTATTCGCTTCCTATTCTTATGTATCTAGTTTTTAGAAAATTTCCACCGTGATATGAAATGGTTTGGCTGTAAGTTTACCTGGAGTCCACTTAGTGATAATAAAGTGGAGTGAAATTTAATTTGTTTTATGATAAGAGTGCATGTTCTTAAACGTGGTTTGAATTTTGAAGAGACATCTAAATCCTTAAATGGTTTCCTTGTAAAGAAACTCTACTATGTCTTTCAAAGTTAGCTGTTTTGTATGGCTCAAAAAATTTACTATGATGAAAGAACCTAAGTTATAATTGTAACCTAAGAAAAAAGAAATTAGTGAAAATTATGTAATGGGGAACAATATGACTAACAGTATCACCTAATATTGCGGGGGTGAGGCGATTCTAATAAGCTGAATAGATAACTGTGTCAAGGAAGAAAATGAAATTACAGTGAAACCCTTTGTAAAACTTGACTGTTGGATCACTTAGAAAGTTGTGGTATCTATCCCATGCATTGCTGAAGGATCTCTGTTCTGTTTTCCAGATACATGTGTCAGATAATGTGGCTCCCTTATCACTCCAAAGTTATAAGCAGCTTGAAGCAGGATATTTATTTCTTCAAACAACCAACACAAACCTTTCCTGACCTCACAATTGTAGAACCATAAAAACTCAAAATTATCATGGATTTTGATCTGTTCTTTACTTAATTTGTAATTTCCATCAATACTAAATCTGGCACTCTGTGGGATAGTTGCAGAAGCTGAGTTGTATGCAGATACCTTTACTGATGTGTTTGATAAGGAATGTGAAACAGAGAATATGAACAGTGATGTCACCACAGCTAGGATGGCTAAACAATCATGATCTCATCCTTCTGTTTTTATGAATGTCAATGATGCAAGTCTGGATGAGAATGAAAGTAATGAACCAGATAACAGTGATGATCTTGATGATGGGAAACGTTAAATATGATGCAAAACTGATCAGAAACTAAGTGATGAAGAATTCCACAGATATACAAGACTGAACATAATTATTGGTAGCCCTGAGTTTATTGTTGAAATTGTGCATAAAATTTTATACTTACATGTTACCATCTTAATTGCGAAGTTTATTTTGTCTCTCATATACATCTTATCTTACTACATATTTCGGCCATCTATAGCTATCATCAGGTATGTATGAGTTCTGCTAAAATTGTTTCCCTGTCTACTCTCTTTTGCCACGGGTCTATGCTCCATGTTAACTTTTGGTGTTAAGAAAGACAGATGCTTAAATGGTCTAGAGAAATACCACATTTATAGAATCAGCCAATAAAACCTACATATGAATGACACATACATTGACACGTATAACCCCATGTGCGATACCCTGTATAAATTCAGTACCAGATACCACACCCATCCCTTTCTTAAAAGGTGGAACGAAGTACACAGTGCATTCATAATCTCCACATAAACAGTACAGTAATTCAACCAACCCAGCAGGGAGTTGCATCTAGACCAGTGTTTCTCAACTGCTGGGCCGCGGCCTGGTTCTGGGCCCTCATCTAATAAGGAAAGAATTTTCCAGGCCATGGTCTTACAAAGGTTGAGAACCACTGATCTAGACAAGCCATTGCAACACACATAAGTACAATAAACCTACATAATGCACACACAAAAAAAATATAATAATATGTTTTACATACTACAGGTAACAAACGGGTATCAACACTTCACAAACAGGTATACACAGGACTATATAACGCATGTAAGTATCAACAGTTGAAAGAAATATATAAAACAACTGACACATTATAACACAACACATTTCTTTACACATTAGACATAACATCCACGCCATGGCACCAAATGCATTGCATCATAATTTTAACAGATATATTTTAATGAATTTTGAAAGAACTTCTAATTGTTTCTATGAGCAAATGATTTAAAAAATTAACATCAAAAGTTAACATGGAGTACAGGTTTGTGATAAAATAAGAGTATACAGGGAAACAATTTAGCAGAACAGACATACCCAATGATGGCTGCATATGGCCAAAACATTTTATAGTAAGATGAGATGTATATGAGACAAAAAGTAAATGTTGCATTTAAGATGGTAATACATGTACAAAACTGTAATATTAACACAACAGGATGTTTAAGTACAACATTGTGAGTGACATTGTAGCTGACTATCTTACATAGCTATCACTAAACAGTCCAACCTGTACCACCTTTAAAATGAATATCAATGAAAATTCTCATCTAAATCACTGAAGTGGTTTGACATTTCACCCAAAGAAATGAAAAAGTTTTTAGGATTATTTTGATGGGAAAAGTGAG